CTAGATAATCTCAACCGATTTTCATAAGGTTTGGCGTTTATTTATGGTTTAGTCAATTTAGCATCTAAATCTGGCAATATGATTCTTGGTCAAAAATCATATAAAAATGGTACCCTCAAATATCGTTTATAGACATAGGCCGAAATTTCGGTCAAATCTCATCCGATTTTCGCGAGGTTCGGGTCTTTGTTCATGTATTGGCCTCTAGATAAATTTGGCATCTAAATCTGGCAACATTTTTCGTGTACATTACGGATGTTGGTGTTTTAATTTGAATTTTATGATTTACTAATGCTATTGGTGATGCAACTCCTGCAGTATCCAACAAGCATCTCCCCACAATATTAACATGACCAGAATCCATTGATTGGAATTTTTGGTTCCTTGTGTGATGGACTTTAAACATGCTTTGAAATAGGCGTGGAGTTCAAGGTAGAAGTTTTATATTTTCCACGGCGGTCTCTGAGTAAACTATATATTTAAATTAATGGGCCTCTGTAAGAGAATATAAGTTTATAAATATTTTCGTTACAGTGCTGCATATGACACGATTACCGAGCAAAACGTCGCTATAAAAAAGCTATCTCGTCCATTCCAAAATGTGACGCATGCCAAGAGAGCTTATAGAGAATTTAAACTAATGAAACTAGTGAATCATAAGAATGTAAGTGATTGTTATTTTTCAAAAAACCCCTGAAAACTATATATTATTTGTCTTTAGATTATCGGTTTGCTTAACGCATTCACTCCTCAACGCAATTTGGATGAATTTCAGGATGTTTACCTTGTGATGGAGCTAATGGATGCTAATTTATGTCAAGTTATTCAAATGGATTTAGATCATGATCGAATGTCTTACTTGCTTTACCAAATGCTATGTGGAATAAAGCATTTACATTCCGCTGGAATAATACATAGAGTTAAGTATTGTTTGTTTTAATCGCTGCTTTTTGGATTAACTTCGAAAGTAATGTAAGAGCTACAGCCGCTGGTAATTTTGCCCAGATTGCGGCGTGAGCGTTTTTTATTTATTCAGAACAGAGAATTAAAAGTCTTCGTCGAATACTACAGCCAACCTTATCTTATCTTCACAGGATTTAAAACCTTCCAATATAGTTGTTAAGGCCGACTGCACTCTAAAAATTTTGGACTTTGGACTTGCGCGTACAGCTGGAACTACATTTATGATGACCCCTTATGTCGTAACTAGATATTATAGAGCTCCGGAAGTCATTTTGGGTATGGGATATACCGAAAACGTTGACATTTGGTCAGTGGGCTGTATTATGGGTGAGATGATAAGGGGTGGAGTTCTCTTTCCTGGAACTGATCATATTGATCAGTGGAACAAAATAATTGGTAGTTATTCATGGAACTGTAAATCGAAACTTTGTATAATTGTCCTTAAATTATTATAGAGCAATTGGGTACACCGTCCCCATCATTTATGCAGCGTCTGCAACCAACTGTTCGTAATTACGTGGAGAATCGTCCAAGATATACAGGATATTCATTTGATAGGCTTTTTCCTGATGGTCTGTTTCCTAATGACAGTAGTCAAAATAGTCGAAGGAAGGCTTCTGAGGCAAGGGACCTTCTCAGTAAGATGCTAGTAATCGACCCTGAGCAGAGAATATCAGTAGACAGAGCTTTACAGCATGAATACATTAATGTATGGTACGACGCTGAAGAAGTTGACGCTGTAAGTATAATCTTTTGTTTTTCTACTGAAGATTGATCCTTATATATTTAGCCTATGCCATTTGGGCATTTTGGAAATCTTGTTTTTTTAATTTACTAATTTAGCGAACCAAGGTCCGAACCAAAACCTAGTTCCGCGAAAATTTAAAATCAGGTTTATGAATAGACTCTTAAGACGAAACGTTAACCAAACATCCGACAGTTATCCGAGGGACGGATGAAGTGCAAAATGCATCCCGCTCTTTGCTTGAAGAGATTCGATTTTTCATTGAGCTAGACAGATGTGCCAATGTTTCTTCCACTTTCTTATTGTTACAACTTCTGCAGAAGTCGTTATGGGATTCAAGTAGTTCAGCAGTAGGTTCTGTTGTCTATAGAAGAGAGCATGAGTCGAAAAAAAAGTAAATTAAAAAAACAGGAAATTAAAATGAAAGCAAAGACAAATATCACAGCATATAATAAAATCGCAATCGGGATTTGGTGACTCTATCTCTTAACGTTAAAAGATTTGCTCGAAAAATAGGATATCGTTATCAATATTTATCGATTGCTTGGAAATGGATCAAGTTATCGCTAATCGGAAACAAACACAAAATGGAAGGGCACAAGGAGGACATGCTTTCGATATTTCTCAAGTTACATACATTATACCCTTTTTTTACCCAAAATCATATTATGGACTATAGCGGCTTTGACATATCTTATTAGATAATTGTTTGGACGTTTTACTATTGATTGTATTACCATATGAAATATTTTGAAAAGTTAATTTTTCGTTCGTCAAAAACTATTTTAATATTTTATGATACTTTTCATGTTATATTTGGCAGATCTGCTATAAGTCTGTAAGGGTATCTTGGAAACTCTGAAGATACAAGTTTAATTTTCACCTAACCTTTTTTTTCAAGAATGTATTTTGTAATGAGCAAATACTTATATAACTTAACTTGTATGTTTTTTAAAGCCTGCTCCAGAGCCATATGATCATAGCGTCGATGAGAGGGAGCATACTGTTGAACAGTGGAAGGAGCTTATTTATGAAGAAGTTATGGACTACGAGGCGCACAATACAACTAATATACCCCGATAGAACAAAATTAATTTGTTGATAAGACAGTTATTTAGCCTTACATCTATCAACAATACAAAAATTTTATTAATATTTATAGTAATCACAGCTGCAAATAAAAATCATAATGTTTAATGTACGAGTTGTTGTTTTAACATCACAGAAAAAACAATTTTAAAAGGATTTGGAGCACTTAAGATGCCGACACGGAATAAAAAGTTATCTTCGAAAAAGATGTTAAGACGAATGCAAAACGCGATTAAAGTAATCATCTTCAAGCTCAATTAAATTGAATTCTTGAGGACGTTGGATTGCATTGACGAATCCTGCAACGCCCGTTGGATAAGGATACAAGGATGAATAAACTGGTTCTCCATCCGTACGTGTTAATATTATAAGTGTTGCGACTAGTTTGGATCTGCGAAGGCTTACGATTTCGGTTTGATCATTCAATTAAAATCTTCTCTGACTATGAACTCGGTTCACTAGGTTCACGTTCTGTAGCTTCGGACTGAGCCCTGATCTCAAGCTATGATAATTTATCAGCTCTTGAGTTGTTTGATCCACTCTTTGTCGGCTCCGCATAGACTGATCCTCTGAATCCTGGTTTCCTCTTTAGTTTGTCTGTTGTCTGTAGCGTGACGAGGAGTCTATTTCAATTGGGCACTTAGCCCTGATTCTTTAATCTTTGGAAATGGACTTTTAGGTTAATGCAGATGCGCTTATTCTGATGCTTACCTCTAGCTGGGCCATTTTTGAGAGTGCTTCAAATGGCAAAAATAAATTTACAATTGCAGGTTCTCCCCCTCATTACGAATAGATTGTTGGTATTTTCAGACTGAAAGCGTATTTACGCATTTCGCTTAGTTTATTCGTTTTTACATGAAAACTTTTTTAAATTAACAAACATAAGAACAATTTGATTAAATGTTACAAGATTATGAGAGAGAAACATTTTGGAGGAGCTTTCATCTGAGAGAAAATCAACATTTTATGGTGAGGTTAACTTCGGAGAGCAAATATCTATTCTAACTATAAAAACATTTAAAGATAACGAATTGATCATCTGACGATTCTACACAAATGATATGAATGCATTTAACCTAGTTAAGTATAGTCATAGTAATTACAAATTAAACTTAAAAAAATAGTAGTTGAACAACAGCGAAGACAATAATTTAAAAAAATAGTTATAAAGGTCCAAAAAGATTCACCGCTGGATGGTTATCAGCTGTATTTCCCAGAAACTGGCCGTAAAGCTCTTTGTACCGATCAAGTGTCAGTCCACCACGTTTTTTATCATCATCCTAACAAATATAAGTAAACATTATAAAAATAGCACAGTGGCTTATATTGAAAAATCAGTTACATTCAATAGAGTCTCAAACGCTTTGTCAATGGGTGAAATATCATCAACAGCTACCCTTGTAATACAGTTGTACCGATATTCGTTAACTCCAACTATTCCGTCATTATCAATATCAAGCAGTTTGAAGTTAGACTCGATGAATGCCCGCATTGCCTGAAAATATCAAAACAATAAGTGATTAATAATGAAACATTTTCCATGATATTCGACTATTATAGAGAATGATATATATTCTACTGAATAGCTTGGGCCGACTAAACTAGCAAATAGGGATTATCTTACTTTATCTTACCTGAGGAAATTCTTCATATTTTTTCCCTACACATGTTTTTTTAACAGCATCCTTGAACTCCTGATTTGAAATTTTTCCATCCTGAAATATATAAATATAAATCAATGATATTAAACTTCTGGATTCATCTATTCATTCATCTATTCATCCTATTTCAATCATATTTTTCCAAGGTGGATATAATATATAATAACAAGAAAAAAAAATAATGTGAATTGTTATAATGTATATATTATACTAGCAATTTTGTACGAAGGCATATAAGTATTACATATGTGTGTGTGTGTGGGCAAGTGAGTGTTAGTTAATGCATGCATGTATGCATGCATTTATGAATATATGTAGGCATGCATGTTCGTTTTCTAATACCAAACGCGGACCAAGCTTATTTGTCGCTGTGCTGCAAATTTAAATAAAACGAATTTCTGCCAAGTGCTCTCCTCCTCGATTCTCAAGAATTTAAGTAGGCTCTGCAGTTTTCCATATTTAGCTAGTAGCGTAGTTTTTTTTGTATGTATGTTCGTAAATATGTATGTATGTACATATGTATGTATTTACATATGTATGTATGTAAATATGTATGTATGTACATATGTATGTATGTACATATGTATGTATGTGCAGATGTATGTCTGTGTATATATGCATGTGTGTGTATATATGTATGTGTGTGTGTATGTATGTGTGTGTATGTTTGTATGCATGTGTGCATGTATGTAGGCATCCGGGCATGTATTCATACATGTACGCATGCATGCATGTTTGTATATATACATACAAAACAAACATGCACACATGTATGTTCAAACAGGCATACATATACATATGTATGCAAACTTAAAACTTCGCCCAAAAAATCTTTGTATGGCATTTCTGCCGAAGATTTTGGATTCTGCGAAAAGTGTGCAATGGATTCTTGGAAATGGATTTGAGCGCAAAACGTCACCCACCAAATCTTTGACCTCCATTTCCACCAAGGAGGGATGGATTTTTCGAGAACTGGGAAGCACCCCTCAAATGAATTTGAGCAAAGATCTTTAAAAATGAGTTTGTGGCCGATCGGATGGTAAACAAAAAAGTTTCATAGAAACGTATTTCGCGATTTTTCTCCACATGCGGGTGGAATTTCCCGAAACCCGACTTAACGTGCACCTTCAACACATAAGGTAAGTGAGGACAAACAGTTTTATGTATAGAAATATGTTATATGTTTTACAGAAAGGTCCGTTGTTGATAAGATTTTGCTGCACACTATATATATGCAATATAATTCACAGCATTTAAGTATTTACAAGATATGTGAAGATAAGACAAGATATGTGAAGCTGCAGCTGCAGTTTGTAATAAATGGAGATTCAAATAAATTATATTTTTAGATATTAGTATATTTTAATTAACTTTACCTTGTCATCATCGGCAATTGCAGAAATCTCTTCCCACAAATTCTTCATTAATTTCTTATACTCATCCAACCGAGCGGTACTGCAGTCTCCTTTTCCTTCCACGACACATGCTCTGACTGCCATGCATAAGAAGTCATTCTGATCCAAAAATCCGTTGTTGTCGATATCTAAAAATTAAAAATTCATAAAATCGATCAAATTGGAAAATCATTTTCTTAATTAAACAAGCACAATGAAAGCTGAGCAATTTAGGAAAGCAATAAATAAAAAGATGTAAACAATATAGCACAAAGCTCTTCGCGGAAGTGCAGACCAGACATTCGTTTTGACGGGTCAGCATATTTTCGTTATGTTCTCATTTCCTAAGACCGAAATCGTACTCAGGCTTTAAATACTTCTCAAAACTACCCGTGTGACCTGCGGCGTGGCTGCCAACCGCGGCGGTTTTGAAGTTTTTGCATGATTGTTGCGAATGTTTAGAAAGAAATGGGCACATAATATCATAAGATTGGTTGTACACTTAAAGCAATACTTCAACTTTAATTGAACTTAACCTAAATATTGAAATTATTAATTTGAACTGCACAGAGGGGACGTCCGATGAATTCAACTGACGCTTACAGACTTCAACATCTGTCGCAAATTGCGCTAATATTTTTGCTAGCCAATGTAAAAGCTCAATGCGATTATTAATATTAGCGGCAACGGTTGAGAGAGATACTAAAATTAACTCACTAAACCGTGAAATCTAATCTTAGCTCAGGTGCATTTTTAAAAAATGCATTTCCTTATAATACGCGCTGCTAGCGGTCGTCTCGATTGCTTTTGTGGGTTAGCTGTAGATCAAACATTCTCCTCCTTTCATGATAGACGCTTTCATAATCAACTTTACTTCCACTAGCAATCAGAGTCTCGGGTTTGGTACATTAAGTTGAGCTGAAAACAGAGTACAGTTTAGCAATTACTTAAAAGTTCTTTGTCATTTTAAAACCAATTCTCATCCTATGAGTAATGGACAGAGCTTTGTAACTGGCCGCTAGACAACATCTCTGCCTAGTTTATTTTTATTTTTAAATAATCCATCTGGTCTAGCATGGCTGCTTTAATTCGACAAAAGGGCACCAATGAAAAGGAAATCGTTCATCCTCTACCAACACCATGCATCCAACATGTATGCTTCTCTTCATCCGCAACAGTTTTGGCCTTCTCTGCCACAGGTTCAATTATTCAGAAATCCACCTCTTCCAAAATTGTTGTGAATAGTATTGACAGTCTTTCCACCGTGGTCTTGAATTAAGACAAGACTCAATTTGTACTAACACGCGCTCTCCAATGGTTTTCTTTATGATATTACATGGACTTCACTCCATCTTCCCATAATCCACCAGGGTGTGGAGTTGATGGAGGGTTGAACCGCCAAGTAATTCTGTTATTTAGCAATTTTTGGTGCGGTAATATACCTTCCCAGCGATCTGCTGTGAAGTCTGCTCACCTTAACCTGGAACTGTCGTGGGTGGGCAGTTTTCTCTTAATTTTTGCGAAGAGAGGGTCTCTTCTATATTATGAACCCCTTTAACAGGCGCGATCAAACGCATATCTTGTCGTGACCCGGGAATTTTTTCCTTGGCAGATGGTTGACCACGTCGATCACCTCTTCGACTCGTATAGGTCTTATCGGTAAGTCCATCTGTATCGGGGATGTCGAATTGTTAGATGCTGTCGGGAGCGCATGAATCGCTTGCGCTACTGTCTCTTTAATTTTATGGGGTTCCTCGTCTCCACAGCATTGTCAATTTTCTGATTCGTATGCAATTCAATGTTCAGATGGGTAGCCTTGTCTATCATTCTTTGAACTATGGAATGCTTGCAGAGCAGCTTATAGTTTGGTAAGACAGCCGTGGGCTATGTTCTAACCTCCAAGGTTAGCGTTAAGTGATCGCTATGCAGCTCCCAGGAGACTGAGATGCTTATGATTCCAGCAGGTAGTAGTTCATACAGTGCAACGTCTAGGCAGGATGGACTTCCTCAATGTCCATGAGGGTACCGTCTAGATGAACCTGAGACTAGCACCGTTGCTCCGCAGGAACCCAGTAATCCGGCAATCGCTCCACAGCCAGTGCTGCGCATTCCTATTGCCGTCAATAATCGCATTGGGTCCCATAGATATAAAAATTACGTTCCAGTCGTTGCGCTCGGTCCTACCATTGAGCTTGGTATATTCCGAGTCCGGTTCCAGGACGCTTAAGACGGTATCCAAGCTCTCCCAAGAGAGCGGACAGAAAAAGTTGGCGATGGTGACCAACGGGTAGTGCTTTAATTGGTTTCTAACTGCAAATCTGAACTGTTTATGGTCAGCCTTATCGGCAAATCGATTAGTTGAGGTGATTCTATATGAAGGAGGTGTGTTTTGGGGTCAACTGAGGAAGGAGTAGGGTTGGTGATTTTCCGCTTAGATCAGCCATCTACAGTAGGGTCTATTTGCTGAGAAGGCTCTTCATCGTTGCAAGCTAATGGCATTTGGTGGCTATTAATATTGTCTTCCATCCTTTGAGAGGAAGCAGCATTTACACAGTATGCTCCACCGTCTAGTTATTATTGCAATTTCCTGGTCCGGGAATGGGTCACAAGTGATTCTATTTTTGATTTGATTATATTTTCTTTTATTCTATTATTTTTTTTAAATTATAGAGGTATTTTTTTTCTAAAGCTCTATTATTCATAAGTTCGTGAAACGTAGATCTGCAACCACTAACTATTATAAGTAAAGCTTTGGATTCCTTTGACCACTCCTTACTGCTTCAGAAATTATGCCTTCTCAATTTCCCAGTCAATCTTTTGAAGAGGACATCAGAGTATTTGAATAACTGAGCCCAAAAAGCTTATTTTCAGAAATTCGTTTCCTCAATGTATTCAAGTGAATTCTGGTGTTCACCAAGGTAACTTGGCCCGCTGCTCTTTATTCTTTTCACTGATGACCTTCTCTCAATTTTGACTCAGTCTCAAGTACTAATATAAACATATGCAATAATATAATTTATTATTCTGTTTCATGTAGTTTTTTTACTGTTTCAAATGAAAGGTGAGGACTTTCCATAGAGGCTCTCCCCAAATTATTCCTTGCACCTCTGACAGCTTACCGTGTTACCGCTTAGCGTGTCAACAGTACCAGTAAAGAATTTAATGATCTAGGTGTTCTCCTTGATCATAAGCTATAATTCGACTCTCATGTTACGGCTCAGGTAGTCGATACAAGACTGCACTTATCAGTTTTTTGGGCGGGAGGTGGGATGGAGCCATTGCATCGGGATTCGCGACCGTTTACCCGGAAGACTAGGTCTTCAGTATTTTATGGTCATCTTTAATATCTTATCTGTGAAGGCTTATCTGGTCTTGTCTGCGAACTTGGTTTCGTTTCCTATTTGTGCTCCTCTCATCTTGGCTAAAGTATTCATTTTCGCTACTCTCTTGTGGAGCCTCTACACCATCCTACCCTCTCCTGCTCCTGCTTATCCTAAACCCTCTTCTACCAATAGCAACTGCAACTCGGGCTAAGTGCTCGTTTCCTTAGGGAGTACTAACAAATTTTTTTAAATATATATATATTCCTCAATGGGAATCCAAGCCGAAACAGACCGCACAAATCGCTAACGACTCTACTCGACAGCCATGCCAAAAATGCATGTTCGACGAAAAAAAAAGTATTAAAATAGCAGCATGAATGCACAGCACAACAGTACAATCGCAATTGCAATGCTGTTGATAGAATTAATTTAATTTAATAAAGAAGATCATGAATGTGTGTGTGTGTGTGTATGTACGTGTATACAGAAATTCTTGAAATTTGCGCTAGCTGGCGCAACGTTATTTATATAGCTACGGGTTGGCTATAGCTATAGCTATAAAAAGATTTGGTGAAACCTGAAAGATTTGCTCAAACAATAGGATTTCGATATCGATTTTTATCGATTGCTTGGCAACTGTGTTTAGCTCTTACATGTACTGAGATCCTTGCGTTCATATATCCGGACGGACAGTCAGAAACAAACAAACCTGGTAGCGTGTCTACCCAAAAAAAACCAAAGGTCAGGCTCCACAAAGCCATAGCGCATGCAACGGCTACTCGCGACATCTCACTCTGTAGCACCGCGCTTGACTCTACAGTCAATCAAGTCCAAGCATGACCAGAGTCAAGGTAGGGTTATAATAGTAGCCTATTTCGCCATCAATTTAGCATAGATAGAGAGTCTAGAATGTAGCCTAGCTAGGTAAGGATGCGCAATTGGGTGGCTCCTGTTCCGGTCGCACATGTGTCATCAGTCGCTATGACTTATTGATGTCAGCATGGACCTGTCTGGGTCTGGGGTCCTACATGAAAACCACCGACTAAGCGTCGGGAGAACTATAGCCTTGAAGGGCCTGACCTTGGCTGTTGGGGAAAGCACACGCCCAGGTCCAGGGTGGGGTCTATATCGGTAACCAACGTGAATAAAAATTAATTCGTTACTCTCGAAACACAAAACTTTTATAGCCAATTAATTCTTGTTAATTATTTGTATAGTCTTTTATGCAGCACTAAATTTTTTCTGTACTCTCCTTATATTGCGTACATATCGTAAAAATTGTAAACAGCATATAGTTCAATAATTATTTTATTTTTGTTTTAACAATGTTTTTTTTTTTTAAAACTTACCATACATGTATCGCACAACGAAGTCAACTCGACTATCCCAAGAATAAGCCATTATAACACAGTTCCTTTATTATTCATAAAATTCCCTAAGCGAAATAGTAATAACAGATTTATCCTTTATTAACAATAATATGGTTTTTGGTTCAGATCTTTGTGGCAATTTATTTAATTACTACCTTAAGATTCGCTTAATTCAAACTAACTAAAGTTGTTATTGACGGGAGCATTTCCTTTGCAACATTCGATTTATTTTATAAGTGCATCTAAACATTATCTATAAATAAATTGCATTTATATATATATATATATAAACGATATATATATATATATATATATAAATATATATAACGAAATTTATATATATATATATATTTATTCTAATATATATATATATATATATATATGTAAGAAAAAATATATTTTTAGTGCACGCATAACCTATTGTAAAGAGATTTTCGAAAAATGTTTGCATTCTTGTTATTTGTATAGCAAGCAACGAAATTTCATCTTTCACCTTTTAAGAACGAGCATAAAAGAATGCTATTCTAAGATACTCAACAAAAAAAAACACCATGTCGGGCAGAGAAAGTCTTAATTAATTATACAAATACTATATAAATATCGAAAATATTTATAAAATCTCTGGTTTTTTGTAAGACAAGCGGGAAAAGGCACTTTTTTCAAATATCAAGTATATTCAGAATTGAGCCCATGTATGTACATTTCATATTTTATGAACGTACGTATATGAAAAATTTTCAAAATTATTTCAACGAAAGGTTCAACGCATAAAAGGAGATATAATTGCGCGCATAATTTGCAGCTATGATCGACTATCCGTTGCCAGCTGCAACATAGACGAGACATCAGTTTTATAGCTTATACCCTACCATCTACCTAACTATAGTGCTTAAGTTTTAAATAGTACAAGCTGTCACCATTATGTACATAATTATATTGCATAAGCTTTATACCCGGCTTTGCCAGGTCGTATTCATTTTCTTAAAATTTTGGACATCATTTCCCGCCCGTGCAAAATGTAAATCTATCCGTACCATCTTGCACGCCACGTCTCAAGTTATATTTATGGAAATGAATGAACGAATCAATGACTTTTTCCGTGATTAAAGCACCACCAAAAAAAAAAAAAAATAAATAAATTTGCTAGGGGAAAATTCAAGAAGGTTTTTTTCGGCCTTTTTTTTAACATCCAAGGCTATCTCCGGTCGAAAAACTTTTTCAGCTAACGCCAAACGTCATTTTCAATAAAAATAGCAATAAAACCCCATTCAGCAATATCGAAATGGACATTTTTAAATTGTTATGGAAATATTTTAATTAACTTGACATTCGGCGCAGCATCTTTTAAATTCTGGGCGTTGACGTTTATTGGTACACCATAACGCAAATCTTAGCTCTTCAAACATTTCAACCCAGGGAGAACGTGACGAAGATAAATAAATCCAATCTTTCCCTGTGTGTGAATCCTTAACGGTGGATGAATTAAGGTGGCCGTGATTCTTACAGTTGCTGTGACTTATCCGTAATGATTTCGCTTTTTGTCGAAAATGAATCATAAATTCAAGGAATGAAACAATAAATGCAACCAATGTTCCAGTAAGCAGCACCACGAATACGCCACCTGATGAATTACGTTATAATTTTTAATATTTATGTAATGTCTATTTACGAAACTTTACCTATACTTTCGAGCCCCAGAGCATTCGCCTTGGACTGTTTATTGTTGCTTATCCGCTTACAGGTCTCGTCCGTGTTCTTCCACCACTTGTCATACAGCATTTGAATATCGCCCTTTTCTTGAAGCTCCAATATAGCCAATGATATCTTGTCCCGCCACGGAGATCCCTTAGGTGTGGCAATACCATATCCTATTAAGTACATTGCCAAAAATCAAAATTTTCAAATAGAAAAGAATGGTTATCTTCGGTAAACCGACCATAAAAAGCTCAAAAGTGTTTTAATACAAACGTTTTATTTCCAAACGATAACCGGAAGGGTAAGAAGGGCAACACTTAGCAATTTTTAAGGGATTCGTCAAGTCGACTTGGAGATACAATGTGACCTACGGGTACCAGTCAGAGAATAACGAATGACCCACCTAAATTGAGCGGCAATGGCTTAGTAAGCCCTAAGTGGTAGTGGTACGGCATATCCTATAAGGCCTATAAAAGGTAATTAACCCTCAAAAGGTGAGTATCTGCCGTTACGAAGAGCCGACCAAAGATTTCAGTTTGGAACTACTGGATGGGCTAGTACCTAGCTAGGACAATTGGGTCCTTTGCTATTCTGTAGTTTGACTTAATTATTTTATTTATTAATAATTAAAAGCAATTATACCTTTTGTGTCCAATAAGCCCCCTATTTGAGTTAAATTGCAGTCTCGCTGAACAATATAGTCAAGCATTGTGGATTCCATTAAGAATGCGTAGTTACCCTGGTTAACACGCCTTATGCCGTCCTCATAAGTTGATGTGAATGCCATAGGCTTCTTATTGTCCATAATTCTCCACATCTTTTTATAAGTTTCTATCATAGAATCCTAAATGAATTTATAAAAAATAATTAATGCGGAAATACCACACTCATCACAAATAGGATAATTTATGAATTTGGACTAGACTGCGCGCTGAACTTCTACCTCTGCGTCCAAAAACTGACTGTGCTGACCGGGGAAGGTTTCAAGAGAGGCTCTTTATGCATTACTGCTGAGGATACCGCAAGGGTTCTATTATTACAATCGATTGGATAAGGCAATAACAACCTTGTCGCTTATTATCTTCAGCCTAACTGGATTATCTTCCGTCATTATTACTGTAGCAGTTGCGATACTGCTAATAGTCCTGCGGACTGGGCCATTTCTCGCGTTAAAAATTCAGCGTCCCAGCGTCCAAGTAGTGGTTGCTTGAACCTGCAGCTTGCAAACAGGCCGATCCTGGATGCGTAATTCGACCTGGTTTCCGAAAGGAATCGGCTAACGGCTGCTTTAACGGGTAGCTCCAAGGTATTGCCCAAGTAGGTCATCCCCATCCGTGTGTTGTTGGCGAAGGCGGTTCCTGGCGGCTTTAACGAAATAGGTAGGCTTAATCGGTCATTTTCCAGTGGTGTCCTTCTCGTTGAATCGATACTGGCCTGCACTGTTTCGCGAGGTCGGCGGACTCTTTAATGTCTAACGGTATCCTTGTCGTTAAATTTCTGTTTCATCGGGAATACTATTGTCGGCGCTTGCGAGGCCATTTTGAGTATGACGTGACGCGAAATCAAAAGGCGGTTCAGCTGCATATACGGTCCATCCGTCAGGGTGATTCGTGTCCGGTCATTGCGGCGACTACCTTCTGTCAAAAAGATACGCGCCATTCGCTCGCTAATGATCGGCCAGTTAACCTTATGTAACGGGCTGTTCCTTGCGCCACTCCTTTTATGCCCACTAGTCACTAGGATCTTGGTACTATTCTACGGCCGGTCCCCGATCATATAGATAGGTTGACCGTTACCGACCCCATTTGGCAACAGCTACCAATGGCATTGGTGCCTTGAAGTCCACAGTCCCAGCCAAACAACCTTTGTCCGCTGCGGCATTCCTTTGAGAAACGTCCTTTTCCTCCGCTTACCATCCCGTTGACGACCTATGAGATCCTAGGTGCCGAAACCGTATCCTATGGTAGTTCCATTATTCCGTAGTAACGTTGAGACGCATTTGGCGACAGCTACCAATGGCATTGTTGCCTTGAAGTCCACAGTCCCAGCCAAACAACCTTTGTGCGCTGCGGCAGTCCTTTGAGAAATGTCCTTTTCCTCCACAGTTTCAACCTGCCATTTGTCCCTCCGTATCTTGGCTTACCATCCCGTTGACGACCTCTGAGATCCTAGGTGCCAAAACCGTATCCTATGGTAGTTCCATTATTCTGTAGTAACGTTGAGACGCATTTGGCCACGGCTACCAATGGCATTGGTGCCTTGAAGTCCACAGTCCCAGCCAAACAACCTTTGTGCGCAGCGGCATTCCTTTGAGAAATGTCCTTTTCCTTCACAGTTTCAACCTGCCATTTGTCCCTCCGTATCTTGGTTTACCATCCCGTTGACGGCCTTTGAGATCCTAGGTGCCAAAACCGTATCCTATGGTAGTTCCATTATTACGTAGTAACGTTGACACGCAGGTGTGGTAGATGCGCAATGGACGCATGTCCTACATTTTTAGATAGGCTTCGCTTTGTCGACCATTCTCTTGTACGTCCCGAATATTACTGTGTCGCCACCGACGCTGTCCGATCAGCGTGGCAGGGTAAAATTGCCTCCCTCCTTATATTTTCATAATTTTTCTTTCTTCACTAATATTGTTAAATCCTCGATAGACACAGGAATCTATCACCAAGCCACACCACACAAATCTACCTTCTTCGCTCTTTCCAGCTCTCAGGCTACCATTACTGGCTTCTCTGACCCCAGCGCGAATAAAAACCGCCAGAACGCTCCCTCACATATATGATATAAAAAAAATTGCCATAGTGTGCCAATCAAACAAAACACTTACCCGAAAAAATGTCATTGTTGATCCACTTTCTAAAGTCCCGTATGAGATTTCCGTCTGGCTAGCCAAATCTTCAGCATTTTCAATCGGGTTCATCATACGCTCCACAGTTAAAAATGCTGCCAAGTTAGCGGTATATGATGCAACTATAATAAGAGAAAAGAAACCCCAAACACTACTTATAATTCGGGTAGATGCGGCTCTCGGATATATATCTGATCCCTGCTGCATAAGCGTTCCAATGGTGAACCAAAAGCTATCAGATATCGAAAATTGGTTGATTATCGTTACGTGATCCACATCACACGGGTGTACACTACGCCATTCAATCGGCGATAATTTTGCCAATAAATATATGGTCAATGATACAAGTAAATATGCCGCTAAAACGTAAATCCATATTTCAATAGCTAAAGGGTTCATGAAAGAAAACAGTCTAGTTGGTTCTGTTGTGGGCACCTGAAAATATAATTTGTTATTTATTATATAGATATTTTAAATATTGCCGCATTTCATTGTATAATTTAAATATTAGCTTAGAGTAAATAATAGTAAATCAAAGCATATGGCTAACTCCATACTAAAAGGGCTATAAGCCCGAAACCTGCGCTTATAAGAATTTGCAGCACATCAGAATTATGTAAGTGACGATTCGATAACTTTTTCCTACCGAGCTATCGGACGTGGGGTACCTGTAGCTGTTGGGTCTTCTCTTTTGTCGAAACTCTTTTAGCTTCTTATCTCAGATATTATGTTTATGGGTGTAAGGCTTGCACTTTATTGGTGTAAAGTTTGAGAGTTGTGACTGTTCGCTTCTCAGCGACCTTATCACCTGTATTTTCGCCGGGACTGTTTAATGATTTTGCACTGACTTTAGCAGGGCTCTTCGGAATCTTGATATCGAATTTTATCGACTTCATAGAGATGGGACGAGTTATCAATTATCGAAAACCAACTCATACTGCTCGGCACCTAGGAAGACCTACGTTACAAATTCCTATCATGAACCATTCTGGGTTCTAAAAACTCACTACATTATTTAATACATACCTTTAATAAAATGCTGATGCCTAGATTCATAAATGGTTTTGTGAAATCTATAACACTTTCCCTTGCATAGGTGATTGTCATAGACCCAACAGCCAAGTCCGCCTTCTGAAAATAAAACAAGTGTTTATAATTTACCGACTATCACAAAACGACAACTAAAATTAATAATTGTGACCCATAACTCGGTCAAAACTCAACCGATTTGCATAAGGTTTGGCTCTTTGTTCATGGTTTGGCCTCTAGATCAATTTCACATCAAAATCTGGCAACATTTTTCTTGGTCAAAACTTATGTACTAATGGTACCCTCAAAAATCCTATATAGACATAGGTCAAAATTTCCCACCCCTTTTATACTTACATATTTCATTAGCTGAGCGACCATTCCATTCCATTGGCCTGTTTCGGGATCTTTGGCTCCATACTTTCGATCAGGAACTAAATCTAGTATATAGTCAAATCCAACCTCGTGCGATATTGTTTCCAATATATCGACACAAAAGCCATAAAAGCGTTCATTTCCGGTGTAGTTCTTACCGTAACGCATCATTACGTAGGGCGTTTCCTAAAGTTTAATAAAATAATAAGTAATAATGAAATAAAATAAATAATAAAAGCTATAGACAAACCAATATTGTTATTACAACTAAAGTCACATTCATAGAACCGGCATCAAAAAATAACGAGGGCTCCGTTATATTAAGACGATCCTGAGGCGTCCATTCGCCGACCTTCACGATGGAGTGTTGCTTTAATTTGATTAAATCGAGCTTAAATTGAATTCGTTGACCATCTTTAAATTGTATAGGTCCCGTTAATCCTTTCCATTCAACCTAGTTTAAAAAAATGAGTAAACTTTAGTAATATTTCCATATCCTTAGTACGTTTATAGAAATAGAGGCTAGCCCAAAAAAATAAAAGCATGCATGCTCTAGTTGGGAGTGCTCGACTAGGCGACAACCTGAACCCCGTGCAAAGCTACGTATGCAAACCTTCTAGGAGATCGGTAGTTAGGTAGATAAAAAATATTGCACTTTAATTGAAATTTTAGCATTTGCTAAAAAAAAATTGGTAAGTCTTATAATTGAGTGCTAATACAAAGTCTAAAATGTAGGTAATATATCGCAAGTGCAAATGAAGAACAAAGTTATACCGCATTAATATAATTGATCAAGCTGAGGCCTCCGTTCCACGGGACTTCATCGTCACAAGTCAAATTTGATATGTGAATTAACGGGTGCATAGACTGCAATCCGATGGCAAATACATATACTGAGTCAAACATCAAAGCTGCCTCTGTCTGAAATATATTTAAGGATCATAATGTTTAATAACTATTTACAAGATTGAATCTTACCTGAATGCTAACTGTTTTTTTGTATTTATAGGTTGATTCGTTTCGGTTCAAATTTCCAATATCGAATAATTCAATACCCTTAAGAATTTCTTTTACCGCCACATCGCCCATATCAACAAGTCGGAATGATGTTATATTCACAAAGTTGTATTTAAAATCCTCCAAATCAAAATTTTCTAAGTCGAAACTTGTAAACAAGTAGTGGAATTTATACTCATTCATTTGTTGCTGAAGGATCTATATTAAAAAAAAAGGGAATTATAAAAAATTTAATTTTTGTTATATCAGCTAAATCAAGAAGAATTCATGACTTAAAAAATATGTAACTCTAGAGGTTTACATTACACCTGACCGCACTAATCAACAGTCATATCACCAATTGACTGATGAATGTGTGTGTGTACAGAAATTCTTGCAATTTGCGCTAGCTGCCGCTAACACGTGCGCAGCCAACACATATTTTCTTTAATAACTTTTGTGTTTCTTAACCGATCTTGGTGAAATTTTCAACAGTAGATCTTATTTTGGTTTAGAATATTCGTATATTCTCAAAAAGACAACTGCATTGAAATTGTGGCTTCAATTGGTGGGTAGTTCAAATATATATACTATTCAATAATCTACTTGTAGCATTTGGAGTTTTTAGCTCTTATAATTTACGAAATTTGCTCAACAAAAAAAGGATTTCGAAATCGATTTTTATCGATTGCTTGGAAACGGGGCAAGTTATCAATTATCCGAAACGGACAGACGGACAGACAGACGGACAAGACTAGATCACAGACCCATAGTGCCAAATAAGATACAGTATCATCTTGATTAAGAGCTCACATTTTTTAATAAAATTGAAATTCCAGCCGAGTTTGTGTCAATTAAGATATTGTGAATTTCATTGTTTTTAAACTCGTGAAGAACAGACAGGTACGAACCAGGCGATACTTGTCTTATGTGGACCTCAGCATCAATTGACCGCGAAAATTGATTTAATACTAATATACCTGCAGAAGAAAGTTGCTTTTAGGGTAGAATGAGTGCAATTGCATGCTCTTGCCTGTACTTACCGTGGTCCTTTTCATATAATATACCAAACCTTGTCCAATTTAGATATCGTATAACATCGATGAAAGCTCGATTAATATGTTGCTGCGACGGATGAACGTTTATGGAAAACTTTTGAGCGGATCGACTAATTCCAATATCTGGTATATCAAGATCATCGCATATTGAATTAATATGGGTGGCCAAAAATGAATCTGTTGGACTAAATATAGCCTGTACTCCGCCCTCGATGAGATTACATACTATTTAGGGAACAAATATGATATATATAAAATGTGATAATAAATTTCTGTCAAAGATTCCATACCTTTTTGAACAGCCTGAAAAGAGTCCTTAGCAATATATTGAATATGGTGTACCAGGTTGGTATCTGGTAGCACACTCTTGTCATGATTAAGTCTATGTACAGCATATTGAAAGGCTACTTCTGGATCACTTTGTTGCTTAGATAGTTTTGGAAATAGGGCGCCTTTAATTTATAGACATACAGTATTTGTGTATAAGTTCATATGGAAGTTCAAATAGTTACATACCCACTTTAATTACGGAAGTTGTGGAAACGTAAGTTACCAAAATTAGGCTAAATACAATTTTTATCACTGAGGTCATTTTATTATATTTAGCTGAGCAGCAAAAACACTTTTCGAATTCAACCTAAAGCACTAAGAAACCCTTGAAGTGCTTTCTGAAAAGTTTTAGGGTCGTTTAAGTGGTGGAAAAATATAGGGAATCTTGATTTTAGTTTCGGTATATAAAGAAGATCCGTATGAGTCGGGGCTGGTGTCTATTTCACTCAGTTTGTTTTATCAGGCGGCGGAACCTAACTTTATTGCGTATTTTATGTCCGTTATCGTCAACGCTGCGAGAATACCGAATGAGAGCTGCTAAATATCGATAACGAGTCCGAATCGAATTTTCGATTTGGCGGAGGCTACAACAAATTTCAAAAATAATAATATAAATAACGTGAAGGTAAGGATATCTTCGGCAAGCACTTGTAGATATTTCCCTTTTACAGAAATGTAAGAATAGTGCAGCACAAAATGCTGAGTTTCCGAGAGGATGGGCGAGTACAACAAGTCCTCGATGGAGTAGCTGATGAAGATAGTACACATTTTTTCAAGTTCGATGATGGAAGCGATATCACCAAGGAACTGGACCTTGTATGGGATCCAGCGATTGATGATCCGCTTGGACTCTTGGGACCAGTCATAACTAAAGCAAAAATCTTTCTTCAATCGCTTTGTAAGGACCAATTGACGTGGGATGAAAGCTTGTCGATTGCAAGTGATACGGCCTGGAGGGAGATATGCAGCAGCTTTCGGAACATTCGTCACATTTTGTTTCCTAGAATGGTGTTCTTCGAAGCTGAAGTTGAAATTCATGGATTTTGTGCCGACTATCCCAAAGCTGGAATTATGTGGAGCGAAGTTGTTGGCTAATCTGATGCATGAGGTCAAGTGCACAGTTCTCTTACTGGTGCGATTCGTCTGCGTTTCTATCTTGGATTAGAAATGAGCCCTTCAAATTCAATGTTTTCGTGGCAAATCGTGTGGCTTCCATACAAGAACTTACCGCCAGTATGGAGTGGCGATATGTTCCGACGGACAGGAATCCAGTTGATCTCAGGACCTGGAATAATTAGAAGAGCGGCCAACAAGTTGTGCCTGCTGCCCCTTAAGGGGCTCTAGTTTCAAAACAGTTGCTAAAAAAAACATTGACAGCTCAACAATTGGTGGTATATCAATTAGTATTTCGTTCAAAGTGTTAGTCGACCCAATTGATCCATTGAGAAAAGGTCAAAATATGTAATTCTCCATATCTTAATCGTAAAAAGGGCAACAAATATTGCCAGATCTATATTCGCTCAACCGAAATAATTGTTCGAGAATCCAAAACGCGCTAACCATAGAGCAAACATCATTTTTTTATTTACTCTATTAGTCTAAGTAAATACATTTTATATAATATTATTAGCCAGTGGCTATACCTAATGCGACTCCTCCAATGAATGAGGTTATAAAAATATGGAGGTCATTTATTTTCGGTCCTTCATCATCTCCAATATATTTTGCGTACCACTTCCTGACTTTTATTGTTTTTCCTTTAAGTTTATCTTCTGCTTTGTCAAGTTTGCGATCCAAATACCTTTCCGTCTGAAAATAAGAATATAAATAGAAACTATAAATCAATCGAGATCAATTTGGCATAGAAATCTGGCCATATCCTATAAAGGCATAGGTCAAAAAATAATCTCTACAACAGAAAGGCGGGCCTAGAAAGACCAGAAACAGACACGCATGTATCGAAACTTAACTGTTAATACTAATCAAGTATATATATGCTTTATAGCAGAATTATAATTGGAATAATATTTTAAAAATTGTTATGTTTACCTTATCTAACCAATTTGTCTCATGGGGTGATATTGAAGATTCTACCTTTTCAGCTATTTTGTCCACACTTCTGGACAATTTCGGCCAGTCGATTTTAATAAATCCTTCTTGGTGTGCAATTTCCATTAAAATAATACTTCCTCCAATCGCAAACGCAGCAAACTTTCCAAATTTTATTGTTGTGTACCCAGTCACCCTTGAAAATACATAAGCATACAAAATAAATGAACAGTGAGGTTTTTTTTTACCATTACCGAGGAGATTGTCATAATGTAACTAAACCGTTTTACACTGTAGCTTTGAGCGACAGGTAGGCAGCAAAAGCTTCTAAAGGTAGAATAAACTTGGAGTTCCCTTGATGTTGGTGCCAGTAAGAAGCCCCCAATTTAAGGATGTCATTGGTTGACGGCCTGGCCGTCTTTGGCTTCCTTTCTCCTGAGTAGGCTCCGGTCGGCCTGAAGTTGCGAATGACCCCCAACTCTGAAGTTAAGTTTATGCGAAGAACCTAGTGCTTTAAAGACTTCAAAGAAGTAAGATGCTCTGGGAGGCATAAACGCAGCTTTGCATTCATTTTTGATATGTATAGGCTTATACTTTGTTGTGTGAACTTATTCTTGATATACTGTGTCTAACCAGCAGAAGGAACACCATATCTAAATATTATTTCTTTAATCAAGTTGATTTTGAAAACTATAGAAAGCTAATGACTTGAAATTTATATTCAACCAGGCGAGTTTATCGGTTTTGTGGAATGGATGGGTTTTGAAGCATGGATTTAGGCACAACTCGGAGATTAAAGCTAGATCCACTGAACATGGTGTGCATGTTTGTGTTTTATAGTAAATACAGACTTAAAATTCACCTTTTGGACACCTCCCCCAATTGCCGCCAAGGCTGAGAAAAATCTACTTTTTAGATACATATGTAGATAGGATAGAGCCTTGTCTTTGCATTTATACACATTTTTACACTGCAGCGAAAACTGTTTGAAAGGAAGACAATGTTTGTAAAAATAGTCCGTGATGTTTCCTAGTCGCAATTAATTTCCCAAACAATGACATCACAGTTAAAAGGAGAGTGGTTTTTTCTTTCGGCGTTGATTTTTTATGTATAACGATTTGTTCTATTTCTGAGGTGTGACTCAATTGATAAAATTCTACGGGTTATTTTTCTAAATTGAGCTTGTTTTCGGTTACAACAGCCTGCAAATAAATTTGCAATATGCAATTCAAAACACATACCATGTACTTACATACATATGTACATACCTACATATGTATGCTGACATAAGTTTATATACTATAACTAATTCATATATAAAAAATAAATTGTTTAAAACTCCTGTACTTACCATCCTGAAGTTGCTCCAATTATTATCTGTGAGTAAGCTGAACGGCTACTTATGTCGCCTAATATTCCTTTTAAAAACATTGATGCTCCTTCCATCGTAATGTACTTAACAAACAGTTGTTCACTCAGAGATTCAGTTAGTGATGTAAGTAAACATTAGAACATTGTTAAGATATTTGTCGATATTGAAAATCGATATATTCAAACATCTTCGCCTAAAGTTATCACCGCTAAGGAATTAATTGAGTAGTTTCTTGAATTTTTTTTTTGGATCTAGGAAATCCAATTTCGGCAGCGAAAGGTATGTATTGTGCCTAATATATTTAAAATTAATAAGGAAACTATGCTTATATTTCAAACAATGCCAAATGTTGAAAATATCGATAAAATTAAAACATCGACGGCCATCCACATCATTGGCCAGCGAATACGCTGGTTAAGATATCTCAATGGTGGCGGGTAAAATGTAACTTATCTGTAATTGTAACCTATTCGTTATGTGCGTCAAAACGTACCTATGTTTCCACTTCAGGTGTTCAAATAAATTGCAATATAGATATGATCTCATTTCGCGCTGACGTATAAACGTATTTGAAAAAAGTTTACCAATTGAGAGTGGCATACATTCCATTTTAAATCTGTCCCTCTGCACCATTCTTTTACTCCTATCCTTATTTCAATAGTCACATGCGAAAGCGACAAAAAAGTTTCATACAAACATTTTACGCGATTTTTGTCAGTCAGTCAGTCAGGACAAACAGATTTATATAAAGAGATAAATAGATTGATGAAGTTGTGTTCATTCGAAAAAAGCGTACGCAATCATACAAACAATTTTTGTATGCTGCGACAGACAGCCTGATCAGATGTATGATGATGATGATTTGTAAAATATGCGTTATTGATTTCGTTGTTTAATTTGAAACGCTGAGAAATTGCGATCCACCGTTTCCCGAATCGCTGCTTAAATATCTAAGTTGAATATTTAATGCAAAATTTAACCACTTTTCTCCAATTTACAGATCAAATGTTCTCAGTAAGAATGAAATTTAATTTATCTATTATTATTGCTTTGCTTTTGTGTTTTCAATTTTGTTGTTGACTATTAATCAGCGTCCTTTCGCGACGTTCAAACATAATTCTATATAACAGCAAGTAAATTATCCCTATTAAACCATTATATAATTCATTTGACCGCGGCGATGACGCGTAATTTCTTTTATATCTATATAAATACAAATTTGTGTTTTATTTATAATATGTTAAACTTAAATTTAGACGTCAGATAATTATAACTAACAATAAATGTGTTTAAATATGAAAATAGTAAAGAAGTATTTTATTAGAGTTAAGGTTTTAGAAATGTATGTCATACTTATTGAAATACGAAGTGTAAGAAACCGAAGGTATATACCATTTCCAATAACGAAAAAATACCACTACAGGTGGACTCGTTTTTTTGTATTAATTCCATACGTTTCTATGTGGAATTATAGTTTTATATTCTTTCATTGTGAGCTACCGTTGTTTTGATTTTTTAAAGGAGAAAGTTAAATTTACGGAAGTAATGTAAGTGTATACTGTGTTTTGCACATATGTGAAGGTGGAAATACAAATAAAGAATTATATTATGATAGCGTGAGAAAGTTGTACGCTGTTGGAAAAAATGAATTCGAAATATATATGTACATATATACCATAATATATACATATGTATATAGATATATATATGTATATATATGTAAATGTGTATGTAATAATTATAAATGCTTTAACATGCACACGAACTTATATGAGATAATCCGATCTTAGGAAATTTACATGTCATTTGTGGTATATAAGTAGCATCAGTGCATTTCTTTTTATTTGTGTGAAAATGTGCATTAAGGTTATATGTATATACAAACATTTATAATTTTATGTTTGTAAGTACAAAATCTCGATGAAATTCAATTAAACGTGTTTCTTTTTTCTTATCCTATATTGAGGAGTCACAAGTGTGTTACCTAAAGAAAATATATTTTAATAATCCAATTAAGCAAAATATCTTAAAGCCTTGTCCCATCAAACAAAAATATGGTACAAATATAAAAAACTACGAACAACTTCAAACAAATTCGATAATTTTAAAGGCATGTTCCTTGTAGTTTAAACAAAGAACAAGTGAGAGGAGTCTAGCCAGGACGTGCCCAGCTTTGGGGCACCTTGAGCCCAGCGCTGAGCTGATTATTATATGTAAGTTAATTGATGGCAGTCGGTTCGATTTGCCAAATATTAACGACGTGCTCCTCGTGCGGCTTCTCGGCGATTGCGGACCCGGATTCAGTGGCCAAAGGCTGCCTGGTCAGCACTTTGACATCGCATCATGGTGACCAGTGCCCATTTTAGTTGCTTATCGTTTACTTATGTTAACTACCTCCGCTTTCTAAACAGGATCGTCCTTGATAATGCCTATATCCTACGGATTTCTGCTTGGTTCTGCTTCGCTTGTTGGCAACTTACCAGGAATATGATAACGGCGACCACAGCGCATATTGCCAGACACAGAGTCGACGCCAACACAGGTCCATTGTTTAATTCTGACCTCTACTTCTCTAAGTAGGTGGACGTAGGTCTTTTCCGCTTAATTGGCAGGCTCAAAAGTGTCTGTCGAGGACGGCGATGCAGCTAATCCGAAAGTTGTTTAGGGGCACCGTTGAGATTTACGTACTTGGTGCCGTCGCGCGGCGCGGTCGAATGACACGAGGCGGGTGGTTTGATTGAGAATTACAAGGTGCCAGGGAGACAAGTATAGTTCCTGGGCGCATGTGTTGCCAATATGAATCCGTTGCCACAAGCTCCGCCACGATGTTTCCCGGTATTTGTAAAATTACGCTGTGCGACAGGGAAAACTAACAACTTCGTACAAAAATACTTAGGACATTTTATGATAAAGTGGATTATGCCATTAATTGCTAAAACCTTAACGATAGCCACATTAATTAATTGGGTTACACTAATATCTGAGAAATTCTTTGCAGTATTAATTTTAAGCACCGTCCTTAATTATTGTGGGAGTTATTAAATTTATATTGGCCAATTCCCGCTGCATTGTCTTATTGGCAAAATAATAATCACTGTATTTGAAGGACAACAATCCTTTCTTCGAATTAACTCTTTTAACTGTACAAAAACTGGAATTTACAACAGTTTTTTTCTTTAATTTTAGCGACAGAATCAAACGAGTGGGCACCTAGCCCACCTCAAAATAACTCTGTTATCAGTCGGTGAAACTACGCCGGATTTTCACCATTTAATTTTATTTCCATAGCCAAGTGGAATCCTTAAAAAATAGCATATTCTCCTTCTGTTAATATATATTGCAATGTCGAGTATAAATAAGCTGCACTTCTTGGAAGCTTTGATTTTGTACCCTGAACCCATTGAAATTGGGTAAACGGGTATAAATTATGCATCTCCGACCCCATAAAGTATATATATTCATGGTTAGCATCAATAGCCGAGTCGGCCTAGCCATCTCCGTATGTCTATAAACAGTCATAAAGAGCCTTTAGTCTATGATTTAAAATGCCTTCTTCGTTCCAAATGCCTCATCAGACTAGCAAGAAATGAAATGATTGAATTTCTGGACATTTGTCAGTGTATAGTCGCTAGAGTTTTAAAAAGACAAATAATGTTTTTAAATTCTTCCCACTGAACTTGAGGAACCGCATTTTTAGTAACTTTCACATATGATGTTGAATAAATAAAGAAGATAACTCATAATAAGCTTTCGACTTAGCATACGAAAAAAAAAATACATACGTCTTCTACTTTTGCGCTAAAATCATTGCTAGGGTTTAATATATCGACGTTAACTTTTATATCCATTATCTTTTCAATGTACTTCTTAAGAACCCTAAGTCGACATTGAAGCTGCATCTATTTTAACTCTTCAAATTCATCCCTCAAGCTATTTTTCCAAGCCAATATTTCAAGCCAAATAAGACAATCTCCGGGAGCCAATGAAAAATCCGTGAGGGTTTTCCTGGAATAATGTAACATTTTTATTTGGACACCACTTAGATAATTTGTACTTGCTTCTTTGTAAGAAAAAAAGGTACACTTGTTTTTTCTCTTCTTTTTATAACCTGAACCCAATAATGTTTATTTTGCAAATGTATATAACGGGCGGAAGCAAGCATTTCCGACCCCATAAAGTGTATATATTGTTTATCAGCATGAATAGCCGAGTCCGATGTGGCCATGTCCGTCTGTCCGCCTGACCGTCCGTTAGTCCGTATGAACGCGTATGAACGCGTCGACCTTAGAACCTATAAGAGCCAAAGAAATTTGAAAGGTAGGGTAGAGTAGGTTTTCGATAATCGATAACTTGCACGGGGTAAGCAAATCGATAAAAATAGTTGAATGAATTTTAATTTAAATAACGAAATCCTGTTTTTTGAGCTAGTCTCTTAGGTTTGAAGAGCTAGAGTCACCAAACTTGAGATGTAGCTTTAAGAATAGTGTATATATATTGGCAGGCCACGTGTTTGCGGCGAATTGCGAGAATTTCTGTACACATGTACACACACGCGTTTTTTTTTTGAGAGGCTCGATCAGAGATACCATTAAAAATGGGTAAAAAAAATAAGTATAATTTTTACCGAGTTTTACCGATGGGAGTTATAACGCACCGTCTCGGCCGCCAGAGCCCCGTTTTTGGGTATGCCGCCGGAGCGATAGGGATATCATAGCCAGATCCGCGGCCTTGCGTACCCGTTGGCCCTGTTAAACAATCTGCAGGCGGGTAGCAAGATATTTGCAGCCTTGTGGTTGTTTGGTGTCGCCTTCCTGTCGCGCTGTCAAATATTTGGCTGCGGTTTTTGAGCATTGATGCTCATCTGTGCTTACGCAGGTTGCCTAGCTTGTTGCATCTGATCGTCGCGCGCATGAGCTTAACAGTTCCCAATGAGGGACTGGAAAGCTTGACACTCCGAGGACACGGTTGAGTGGCGTTGTTTTTTTCTTACTCAGAGGGGAAGACCTCCCCGCAGCACTGCAGCAACGGCTTCCCCACTGCAGCAATGGCTGCCCCCAAGTCTTCCAGCCTAGCGTAAAAGTCTGGGCGGCCTCGGGCTCGCTGAGAGTTCCTTCTCGCTCGTAGGCAAGCCTCCCTTAGGTCACTGATCTCCTCGTTCCACCAGTAAAGAAGGCACTTCTCTTCTGCTTGGCTTCCTCCTGAGCATGGTTAAGTCGCACGCATCCGAGATGTGTTCCATAAGCTGCTGCGGCATGTCCTGTGCTGACTCTGTGGTCCATGTCCATTGCGCATTGAGCATTGCAGATAGAATTAGCATACGTTTCCTGATCTAGGCATTTGTCCTTCCATTTTGGTCCTGATGTTTTGGACTGCTTTGTTTCCGTCATCTCCCGTGGATCTCGAACTAGCGAAAACATTAAATGTTTTGACTTAATGATGGTTACATAACGTAATGGTTAGTTATAAGTAATACAACTAACCCTAAAAAGTATATGAAAAATCTAATGCAATGAGAAAGCGCATTTAAATTTTGCACTACAGATTTAAAAGAGCGAATAAACTAAAAAGCGAAGGATCAAGGATGATTCTTTGTGGCCCTCTGGCAATTGCTGAAGGAGATAGCTGATGATCAAGGAAAAATATTTTCTTTAAACCCCATTATCAACTCCCGCATATATGTCTTTTTTTAAGTGTAAAGTCACCAATTTTAAATCAATGCCTTAGGCTCCCTCTGAAATATAATATAAAGTTAACTTATAAAGTAACCAAAAATTAAGTCACATTGCGCTAGTCGAGGTTGTCCGCTGGGAGATATTTGGACAGGGCGGACCTGTAGCTTCTTCTATGAATAACGCTATGCGAACGCTTCCACTTTACACTTGTATTACGTATTTAATGGGCAAACAGATAATAGCATTATAAAAAATAAGTTTAAAAGAACTATTTCCGCCTGCGAGTGTCAAACGCGCAACCACTTTCAGTCGAGCGAACTGCTTGCCATCGTATTACAACTTACAGCCATACATAGAATTATATATTAGCCGAAAAAAATTTTAAATTACATTTTCTTCGGCAGATTTAATTTTGCCATAAATGATTTTTATTTATTTATTTGTGTTGGCGGTGGTATCTAAAAACAAAATAAACCTATATTACCCGGTTTTCTCATACAAAATATTGGATACTGTATTGTACAGTATTGTGCCTTAATCAACCTATTTATGCAATAGTTCGTCGTAATATTTTGCGATTCTGCAAAGGCATAAGGACCAGTTCACGCCAATTATTTAACGTGAACATTTTTGTAATTATTTTTAATATTACAATTTTTAAAATATATATATTTATTAACTGAAGGAAAAGAAGATATAACGGTGATTCGTGATAAATAATTTACGGATTAAAAAGACAAATAATATTTTGCATTTCGATTTTCTGATAACTTGGATAGTTTATACCGAAGTATAAATTTAAAGTTTTATCTGTTTTTTTCTGATGTACAATATTTTTGTGTATAATATCATTCATAAGTACACATGAGTATTTATGTCGTGCACATATGCCCTTTTTACAGTGTTTTTTTTAAATGGTTTGAACTTGGCGTGTAACTTGTATCACCCTGTGATAACCATATACAAAATTAAGTACATGTGTATGTGTGTATATGCAACCTTGACAACTAGTATGGTAGTTTGGTAAGCGGGGTTGAGTACAGAAGGTGAAGTTAAGAAACTAATAAAAATTGATATTTAAATCATCATTCACGCATAAGTATATAATTAATGATTTAAATATACACATAATAAACACTGGATCGTATGTGACACAACTAACGTAAATTAGTGAAGTCCCGTAGCTGACGCCATTTTGTATTTACATATTTGGAATACAAAGTAAAATTATTGTAAATGGAACTTGGGAAAAAAAGGTAACACACATTTAAAAAAATGTATATATATATATATAAGGCTGTATAAATACAGTTAATTGAATTATGCCAATAGGTTCGCCTTTTAGCATTATGGGATGTATGTATAAAAATGATGTTCTAATAATTATGTACATATGGCTGCGTCTTGTACTTACGATTACTAAATTTAAATATATATACATATATTGTATGTATTATTCAGTTTTGTATATCTATGTCCGTGTATATTTTCATACAACTTCTTGTGTACACTTGTTCATACATATGTACATACATATGTTGTTTTCCACATACATATGTACATACACATGTAAAATATTGCGTATTCTTCCTCTTTAGTATGTAAATTGATGTTTTTGTTGTATGTCAATGTTAACATGTATTTTCGACTCATTTCAGGTATAAGGGTGGTCGGACACCTTCAGTTAGGTCAAGTGATAGGCGACGTCCTCAAAGTTTTTCAACATCATCTACACTCTCCCCGCGGGTTGTGTTATCTCGTTTGGAACCCAGAGATTTTGAACGCCTTCGATTATCGTACAAAGTTGCTATTGACCAAAGGAGATCTCGAAGCTGCCGTGGCATGAACATGGGTCAAAAAATTAGTGGCGGCGTTAAAACAGTTAACCGTAATGATTCTCAGGCAACGTTTAAACCAATTATACCAAGAGAGCTACAAGCCGATTTCCTTAAACCTGCTCGGATCGATATTTTGCTGGACATGCCACCCGCAAGCCGAGAGGTTCAATTAAAGCACTCGTGGAACTCTGAAGACAGATCTTTAAACATATTTGTTAAAGAAGACGATAAATTGACATTTCACCGACATCCTGTTGCGCAAAGTACTGATTGCATTCGCGGAAAAGTTGGTCTTACAAAAGGATTACATGTATGGGAAATTTATTGGCCAACAAGGCAAAGGGGTACTCATGCGGTAGTTGGTGTAGCATCAGCCGATGCTCCGTTGCACTCTGTAGGGTACCAGAGTTTAGTAGGATCTACTGAGCAAAGCTGGGGTTGGGACCTGGGCAGAAACAAATTGTATCATGACTCGAAAAATTCAGCTGGTATCACATATCCGGCAATTTTAAAGAATGATGAAGCTTTTTTGGTTCCAGACAAGTTCTTGGTTGCTTTAGATATGGACGAGGGCACTTTAAGCTTTATTGTTGACCAGCAATATCTTGGTATTGCATTTAAAGGCCTAAAAGGAAAGAAGCTGTATCCCGTAGTTTCTGCTGTATGGGGACACTGCGAGATAACGATGCGTTATATCGGTGGATTAGATCGTAAGTACAATTTCACTAAATGCTTATTTACGTGTATTTTTATCATAACCACTATTCATTTCCATTAATCGAGTCCGCTTTTAACGATTCCTTACCTTCGTATTGCCTTATTGGGTTATATATTTTGCGGTATAGTCCGTCCAATACATTTTCGATCAGATTGATGTGGGATGGCCAAGCCATGACATTCGGCATTATCATGTTGTAAAATCCATTATAATTGTCCCTCAATCTAGCATATACATAGTTTTGCCCCAAAAAAATGTAAATCAATCGATCCATAAAACGTAAGCACTTCCCATGCCATGAATCTGGACTTCCGGCTATGATTAAATCAATTTCGTCCTTTCGCAGTTCGTAAAACAAAAATAATGTTTGTCAATTCAAATGAAACGTGATTTCATTAGTAAAGGCGACCGAGTGTCAGGCTGAACAGTCCATGTCGTATTTTTGCATTTGAAAGAATACAACGCGCAGTTTTGAAATTGAAGCAATTTTGCGAACTCTACGCTTCTTTTTTTTGCTGATTTCCATATGCTTTCGGATCTTTTAAATACCGATCAACAGATCTGCTGTTATATATGTTATATATCTTTCGTTTAGAAAGTCCTTGTAAGTGAAGGAAGTCCGTTTTATTGCGATCCAAACCCTTTTACAAAGGTTTATACCCTTTCGTAGGTGTAAAATATTGGGATAACAAAAACAATGTACCAATAATGTCTTCGTACAGAGACTGATATTCTTTGGTAACGAAAAATAGGAACTCGCAGAAGAGCAACAAAAAAGTTCAAATGCTGTTTTCCTAATCTGTTTCCTTTATTAAACAAAATAACTTTTTAATCTTAAACACTATATAAAACTCCATTTATTAAATTAACTGTCTTAAGCCGATTATGCACGGACCAAATACAATTTTTCGTGTAGGATTGATCAATTTTCGTCTAGTCTTCTTTCAACACCTATTACTTTGGATTTGCTATTAAAAAATCCATGATTACAATCATAATCGCTTGACATTTCGTTGTTTTATTTATAGTTTTTTCACTATTAAACTTATTGGATATTTCTTCTCTGTTAAATAAAGCTAATTAATAGATAAAGTTAAAAGCTAATAAAGTTAATGTACGAAGACATTATTGGTACACTTTGTGTAGAGCTTACAAAAATTAGTAGATTCAAGAATTTTTGCTTCTACGCCTTTGTCTCGAAATGTGTAACGCATAGAAGGAGTTATCTCCGATCCCATAAAGTACATATATATTCTTGAACAGCATCAATGCCGAGTCGATATAGCCATGTCCTTCCGTATGTATGAACGCAAGGATCTCAGAATCTATAAGAGCTAGAGACTTGAAATTTTGAATGTAGGTCCTCCTAGTGCCCGCGCAGTACGAGTTGGTGTCCGATAATCGATAACTTCTCCCGATACCAAGCAATCGATAATAATAGATATCGAAATCCTGGGTTTTGAGCAAATCTCTTAGGTTTTAAGAGCTAGAGTCACCAAACTTGACATGTAGCTGCTAGAATAGTATATACAGGCTGTTATTTTAATTGGTTTTTTTTAATTGAAAATGATTAATTGGAGTTGATTTAATTGGAAAATTACTACCCAGTCTTTTAACTGTTTCCACAATATAATATGGAAGCAAAATGCTGCTCGAAAAGCTCAATTTTGTGGTCAGTGGTTCAGGAAAAATAAGTTTGCATTTATCTTAAGAGGTCATCAGTAATTTACCTGGCTTTATTCTAGCCTTTACTTTGGGAGATATCGATTTATATTTATTTGATTTCTGTTCATATCTATATAAACACTTGTATTTGCTTGTGATATATATTTATCGCTATGTATTTATTTTTACAGCCGAACCTTTGCCATTAATGGATCTTTGTCGAAGGTCAATTCGACAGAAAATTGGTCGAGTAAATTTGGAAGATCGCATACAACAACTTCAGCTTCCGCAGTCTATGAAAACGTATTTATTGTATAAGAACCGTAGATAATATTTTTAAATCGGGATTATGTAAGTTATCATTTTGCATCTCTGCTGCATGTGATGGGGGAAGTTAAGGTAAATAGTTTTAGTTCGTAATAGTCTTTAAATCAATGTTAGTTTTTGTCGTCAAGGAACAAAATATAAAAGTATATAATTTTTTAACTATACTTGATATTCGTTTTCCTATTTGTGTTGTAAATTAAGTCGGTATGATTAACACAATATTTAATATAATCACAAACAAATCATTTGCTAAATCTAAATCATGGAAGAAATGTATTTCTCTTTAATTGACATATATTAAATATAAATATAAATAAATATATAAATTAAAAAAACGTCGCAAACCTCGTGGTATATTCAAAAACATAAAACTGTACCATAATATTAGCTATAACATCCATTTTTAAATACGTTCATAGTTTAGCATTTCATTTTTAATGACACCGTGTTCAGATTTATAATTTAATTAAATATAAAATAACAATGTACATACATATATGGGGAAAAACATTTTTAAGACATTCTTTGTGTAAAAATAATTATGTATTCCTCAATTGAGATTTTATTTTGAATCTTGGTCGCATTAGATATTTATAGGATGTGTTAAATACGCATGTACATATGTACTCAATAGGGCGTAATTCCACGGACCTTAGAATAAATGGATAGAAGTCTTTTAACACAAAAAGGTGCAATAATTTAAAAGAAAACAATTTTTTATATTGCTTACTGAACTGATTTGAAGGAATCTCAAAGAACGCACTGTATTACAAATAATATTCATTATACCGATTAGAGAATTGAATAATACATAGCCATATGTGTCAACATATTCATTGCAGTTAAAGTTTTCTCGATTGAAAGATTGTTTGCTAAGTATTACTAAAAAAGTGCTGACATCCATTCTTCTATTACAAATATCCCAAAATTGTAACATTACGTTCAACCATTTTGAATTAAGCTGGAAACCCTATTAATAATATTACACAACAACAACAAAAAGCCGTAACTATTTAATTACTTTTAAGAATTTTCGTTAATAGTTTTGTCTGTGTATTTGACAGGGAGCATAATTACGCAACACGATTCATATTATTTACTCTCAGTCAACAATATACATTTCTATAATTTTCATGGACACTATAGTTTATTCCAACCAACATATGTACTTATTTTATATTTTAGATGATATAAACTTAATTTAAATTTTATGACACTTAATAAAGACTTAATTTCACTAAAAATGTATACAATATTTTAAATTATTTTTCATGAAAATTCTAATTCCATTGCCACGGTCTTGTAAACTTTTTAATATAATTATCCTTAATATTTTTTTTTACATTTTTGTTTATATCTAACAAGTAGAGAAGGCATCTACAACACCATAACGTATTATTAATCTTTTTGGTAAATAAAGTCAAACAATGCCAAGCTACTGTATCAATATATACCCAGGTTGTTCCTGACGACAGGGGATGGTGCTAGTTTCTCAGAGCTACAAAATAGTGCGATATCCGATGTAATGTCGGCTTTAATGTCGAAAATCCAAATAAGCCATGACCACGCTATTGGTCGGCTACAACGGGTAGGTGAGAGGATCAGGCGGACAGACAACGTCACAGGCCCCAACAAAGTATGTGGCTCATTGTGGACATAGACGGGCCGGCTAATCAGACCACGGAGTGGGCTCACTCCAAGTGGCAAGGTCTTCCTCCACAAATCCATAGCGCTCCCGACACTTAATCAGATATGGGTTATCGTCTGACAAGGACACCTCACTGACGGAATCCAGGCCGAATGGGCCCTCATGCCAGACTTGGGCATGAGCCTGCCTGGGAAAACGGCGATAGCTACCTTCCCGCGAAGGATGGCTTATCTCTCGAAAGAAGCCCAAATCAAGGACCGCATGGAAAATCTGGCACAGTTGCGAGGTAAGTGATTGACGAAGCACCTCAACAGGCCAAACATTTCAGGGGAGTAGGAAGTAGGCCAGCAATGGAATATGATCTGACGACAGTTGCAATGACACTGTCGCAACTCATTAAATTTAGCTGGGGCCCTAAGAATATGTATTGCCTCCACCTTTTTCGCATCGGTCCGTATCCCCTCCCCGCTAATCACATGTCGAAGATAGACCAACGTCTCCCTGAAGAAGCTGCATTTCTTTTTATTCAACCTAAGGTTGGCTGCCCTTAACCGACGGAATACCTCCCTCAAATTCTCGACGTGTTGTTCTCGTAGGCAAGCGCATGAGGGTCCAACTCCGGCCCCATTACCGTGGCCAATGGCAGCTGGAAGGTCGCACATGCTGAATGTAGCCCAAATGGAATCACCCGCCATTGGAACGATTCTTCCCCGGCACCGTGAATGCCATGCATACCCGTGTTTCCTAGGTAGAGATTAATTGGGCGTGACGCAACTACTCAAGAATGTGGTTGACCGTAGGGACAAGGGATAAGCGTCTGGAATGGAGTGCGCATTGAGTTGGCGGTAGTCTATGCATATGCGCCACTCCCCAGACTCTTGTAATTAACACAATTGGGGCGCTGTGCGGACTACGCGATGGCTAGATAGCACCTGCCTGTATCAGCTTATCTACCTGCTCGTCGATCACCCTCTGCATGGCCAGGTTCTTCGCGTAATACCTTTCCTTCAATGGCTTGTCATCTTTCAACCGGATCTTACGCTCCGCGATATGCGAGATCCCCTGCAGACCCTCGAAGAGTGTCAGTTCTGACTCCAGGAACTCCCTCAGTTCCGGATGTATATCCGCTGGCTACTCTGCCTTCTCTATTAAAGAATCACTTTGCGTTTCATCTCCTCCGAACACCACTCCGATCTCAGATGGAGGTCTAGGACTTTTCGAGTGGCCTAGACTCTCTACTGTGGTATCTGCACCCGATCTGGATGGATTCTAGCCTTTGCCCCTACTTTCTACGTTTTTCGGCATATGTCCGCCATGCTAACTCCATGATCAGCGCATTGCTGTTGCTGCAGCTCTTCCCGTCACCTTTAGGGATCCTCGTGGGTTCGGTCCGATTCCGGTATGGCCCTTCCTTGACTTCCTACTCCCTGCTGTCTCCGTTCCCTGACAACGCATTGTGGTGTCCATTGCACATAGGAATTCCATTCCTAGGACGATGTTGTCTAGCATGGAAGGCATGATAAGCATCGGCATGCTGATTACCTTTTCCGCTAGGCCAACATCTGACCACAAGGCCTTCCCTACTTCTATTATGATCCATCTGCCAGATGAATACGGGTCTGCACATGCTGTGCTCTCCCCTGAATCGCCCACGTGCGTACGCTTTCTTCGCTCATGAAGCTGCGAGTAGCCCCGGTGTCGAATGTCGCAGGCATCGTCCGCCCGCCGATCTTCACTGTATCGACAATTCGGTTACCGTCCGACTTCAATGAATACTCTTCTATCGGCGTCGACCCGATTCAGGCCTGGAAGACACCGTTCCCGCCTCCGCGTGCGTGCAACAGTCCTCCCAACAGAATACGACACGCTCGTTGGGTCACTCCCTGGCAAAGTGCCCCTCTTGTGAACATTTGAGACATGACCGACGCGGATCGAACCCTGTTCCAGTCTCTTGACCAAGCATGTGATGGGCGACCTCCGCATGGGCCATTGCTTGCGTTCGTACCCGCCGAGACCAATGGTCTAAGCCCGGAATGGCAAAAAACTAACGATTGACGTCCGACTTTGTGTAAGTAAAGTTTAGTAGTTCTGTTACCTTTGCTTTTGCAAAGTTTTAGAGTAGTGTTGTGCGATTGTTCATGACGGCGGGCACGGGCATACACACTCTAATGAGACTACTAGCTGGCCGGGCTGCATATAACAGCATATTTCTTTGTTAAATTTTTTTTATAATCAATTGCTAACACTTTATAAGATCTCCTAATTTGTGCAGCTGCACATGAGGCGAATTCGCACGATGTACCAAGTCCGCTAGGAATCTCTTAAATGAAAAAAAAATATAACCATTAATGGTTATAGCCAGTATTCGCCTCCGCTCCCAACCTAAAGGAGTCTAACCTGAGCCGCTATATTGTCAGAATAAGAGACTAGCCTATTCCAGACGCTCTTGTTAGCCTCATATACCAACGACGTCTGTGTCATGGTCCCCTGTTGTTTCAGCAACTGGGCTAGATTCTTCAAAATCAATTGACGCATAAGAACCATAGTATGCCTCACCAGAAAACGAAGAGTGCCGCCAGCTCTGATGTTTAAAGGTTTAATACTCAATCAAAAAAAGGCGGCAAGATACCCTTGAGGTCACCCTTGACGCCTTACCTTTGTCGACTGACATCTCACGCCACCTATTAAATTTAATAAAATATATATTCCTTTTTTTCAAAATATACTTAATAATGTAGTGAGCAGTTGAAAGGAATAATATAAGAGTTTGTATAGCTCTCTCTTCTATTCTAGTGCCGTGAACAAGAGACAATTTTTTGTGTTTGCTTGACATACTTGGAAAAATACTAGAAACCATTTCGTCTACTAACATTTGGAACTTTGTTGTTTTAATTCCAAAAAATAATGCTAATTCGATAACTGTATAAAACAGTGATCTGTCATTCGACTGCGAGGTGTTAAAAGGTGTAGCCCGTAATTTGCGATGACAATAAAAAATGTCTAGGTCAAAACTTTTTAAAAAATTGAAATTTTATTGAGACAGCATGTGTTTACTTACGAACGATTTTATGCTGCCGCCAGCATATTGAAAATTGGTGTAAACGTAAAAAAGCCATAAAAGCACTCAAAGCGGAAAAAGTGTGTGAAATCTTCTTGCTGTTGAAATTTTCAGTAGTAGATCTTTTTGTGCAATAGAATATTCATAAATTCTTAAAAAGACAACAGCAATTAAAGTTTGGCTTAAATTGGTGGGTAGTGCTATTCAATTTCATTCAATTCCATTCATTCCATCAATTTATTTTTTTTGTATATATCAAAGGAGTTTAGGCGAGGTGGTAACGATAGCTATTAAATTAAAGATACTGAATATATATATAGTACCCAATAAGCTTCAAATTTAGTCACTCTACCTTTTAAAACTTAATAGATTTTTTAAAAACAAAATTTTAAATCGAATCTTATCGAATGATTGAAAACGGGGCAAGTTATCGATTATCGGAAACAAACTCGCACTGCGCGGGCACTATATATTTATAGGCTGATCAATAATATATATACTTTATGGGGCTTCTGCTTGTTACATACATTTGCAAAAAAATTTCATATTCTTTGAACCCATTTTCAATGAATTTAGGGTGTAAAACTCGAAGGCAGCGCCCAACCATGGAAGAAAATATCTCTGGCTCTCGACAAACGCATTGATCGACTTGTGCGAGCATCTACCCAATACATAGACACATACATACTAAAGTTTCTGGGCTGTAAGGAATTCAAAACAAATATAAGTACATACATACATGTATGTACATAGATAATACTGATCTTTTAGACAGAAAACTAGCTTGTTTCATTCATATTTATATGTACATATATTTCGATAAAATCGATAAGCCGGTTGAAGATATTGCAGTGTGACTATTAATTATCGAGTCACATATTCAGTCAAGCGGTAGTGTATATCAGTATGTAGATATGTATGTACATACATACATACATACATTTGTGTTTTGGGGTTGCAGATGCTTTCTTCTGTTTTATACTATTGCACAATTCAATACATCCGATTTTAAATGATTTTTAATGATGCAGGATATTGGCTTATTTACCATATGTAGAAATTTAGGTAATTTATGTATAAACAAATTACATTTAGAAATTGACATACTTATGTACATATATTACAATCATTACAACACATCTTAATTAATATTTGCTTAAAAAACCTCAAGTAGAGAATACCCTATTTATACACGAGGTGAATATAAATAAATTGAAAAGTATTCTTAAACTACTTTACGATATGCCCTCGTTGATTCTTTATAACAAAAAGCTTTCTTGCTTGTATGAGCTCTGCAAAAAAAGTTTATTTAGTGTTCCACTTTAGCTTGGTGCTTTAACTATAGAGCTTTAATTCAACGTGTTGAGATCATCGTTGTCGGTTTTTTAAGAAATCTTAAGTGATTATCTTGGTAATTTTATATACACAAAACATAACTGGCAAATAAACACTTAGATAAAATTGTTTTAAAATTACTGTATTGTTCCGACATATTTACATACATACATATGTATATTGTTAAAAGAAATGTACATACCATATGTACATACATACATGTCTTTACGTCATTGCACAATATTTATATAAATTTGTCATTTGTTGCATATTTGTATAAACATAGATACATACGTATCTACAAATAAACAGTTTTATACTATTCCAACCATTCCCAGTGCTTATTGCCTTGCATGCAACTAGTTTGTTAAGTACTTCGCGAATCGCTAAAGGGATAAATATGTAACAGTTCGAATATATATTCTACCGGAACATTTCTTACAGTTAGTGGACACACTCATATGTATGTATAAGTAAGTACACACATATGTGTATACATGAATACATACATATGACGATCAGAAGGTGTCTCGCCTGCCGTAAACATATGTACATACATATGTATGTATGTATGTATCTGTTATTCGTTTTACTATCTGTTTGTTTTGGGAAGATATTGGAGGTCAGGTGGAAAATTTGTGTATTCCATATTTTTGTAACATCCAACGCTTTTCTCTTAGTTTTTCTTGATTTTAACACATGAGAATACATCATCAGTTTTCTACAATTTTTTATTAATATATAATAACAAATAACATTAACATGACTAAAAATTCAATTCATATGATAACATGTATTTTTTTTACATAACAGACACTATAAACTTTCAACACGGGTTTAAATTCACTCACTTAGTATATGTAATGCCCCTGCCATTTATTTATATACCCTGAACCTATTGAAAATGGGTAAAAAGGGTATAATGTATTTGTGCAAATGTGTGAAACAGGCTGAATTATAAATGTTCTTCCTCAGCTTTAACAGCTGAGTTGATCCAGCCATGTCTAAATGTGGCGATATCAGATAATATTAGAGCTAGAGACTTAAAATATTAATTCACTAACCATACAACATATGCATACATAGATGGGACAGCTAGGTACATAGATAAAAAAAAAACGGAGTGCCTGGTCACACAGCGATTTCATTTTTGGTCGCGTCCGCAACTCGCTCACTCAATCAGAGAGCAAGAGAGTTAACGAGCCAATTTTTTTTTTTGTGATTCCGGGCTTGAATTATAGAATGAGGGTTGACCCTTCGTTACCTACAGCAGTCCGTTCGGCAGAAATAGTAAACGCTTCAATGATTTGATGACCAGCGGAAATTTGAGCAAAATACAAAATTTTCAATTCCCTAATAAAGTTTAAAGTTTAAAGTTTAGTAAGGGCAGAAACCTCCGCGCGCGCCCCAAAAAGTAATTCTACAAACTAACCACAAAATCATAAAAACATGCGTATATTTAGAGATGATTGTCTGTTTCTACTGTAGACAGGATAAGGATATAGTGATAGAAATCGCCGACCCGGTGGGTCAAATTTATAGCCTGTCCGGCAAGCTATGCCCCTACTCAGAGCTGAAAATGGTCAGCTAGTTCCCGAAGATATCCTGAAACCAACGATTTTAGTTAGCGTACTATTATTATAATCTATTATAATCCTTGCATAATAAAGGAAATGAGTTGTGCAATGCGTAGTCGTGCACGTAGGTAGAAATAAAGGGGGATATTTTCTTGTAGGTCTGGAGGGAGCAGAAAATTGAAAAGGCCCCAATAGTAAAGGAGAATCAATATCGCTAATAATTACCTTCGATAGGAAGACAACACCGAGGATTTTCCTACAGTAGGTTAAAGAAGGAAGATTAAGTAGAAGATGCCTGCTGGAATACGGTGGTAACCAATTGGGTTCCCAGCTTAAACCTCGCGCGGACTATTGTTATATTGCTGAGATTCATGAGCAGTACTTAAATTTAGCACGTGCAAGCGAGATGTACAGAAGTTGGGTTACGAAGCGGTCCTTAAACTCAAATTTTTATTAATTTACTTTTATTGCTGCTAAAGCAAATGAGCTTGTGGCGGGAGATGCTGGAAGAGTGTTCGAGGTATCCCCTAGTCGGGAATTCCCGAGGGGTTCTTACTTGTTATTCTCACATATCTGCAAAAGGCAACTGTTTAAAAAGGTATTAAATCTTTCTTACTCCCTCGTTATTGAACAATTTTAAGTGGTAATTTTTATTAAGTGCCTAATATAAAATACAATTTGAAAGTATCAATATATAATATCTTTCTAATTTATATTCTAGATGATGCATTCAAGCCGTGGTGTTGATACAAGCTCTGACAGGTTTTCCAGTAGAACATCAGTATACAACTATCCTGAGCATTTGAATCCATTTAACGATGAAGATAATCATAGGCGTTTACGGTTTTGGAGATCATCAAAATCCAATGAAAATTCAAAGCAAAGAAGTTTTTCTATTGGAAACTTGCGAGACATTTGGTAAGTTAGAAAGTTAATTAAAAGTTAAAAAAACAAAGTTGATGCCATATAAAGAATTTGGTTGGGGAAAAGAACTTAACTACAAAAGTAAAATTGGTATATTTTTTTGTGCAAATGTATGTAATAGGCAGAAGGAAGCCACTCTAACCCCATAAAGTAAATATTTGTTTGATCAGTATTAAAAGCCGTCCGTCCCTCGGTCCGTCAGCCCGGTTGTATGCACTCAAGGATCTCAGAATCTATAAAAGTTAGATACTTGGAACGTAGGTCCTCCTAGTGCCTGTGCAGTACGAGTTTGTTTTCGATCATCGATAACTATCTCCGTTTCCAAGCAATCGATAAAAATCGATATCGAAATCCCGTTTTTCAGTTTCGATAGTCCGAACAGCTGGAGGAAAAGGGTGATCGATTATCGGTCGGGTCGCACTCCCAATCCCGTATGGAGAGCAGAATAAAAACATAACGTTGTATATCTGTAGACAGTGAACCGGTAGTTATTTTGGGAAGAGACAGATTTTGTTTTTTTAACATAGCGGCTTGGGAACCACGGACCTAGAGAAACATACGATCGACTTTGTAGAAGCCCAACCATTCAAAGAAGGGTAGGTCGCGCAGGTTCGAAACTGGAGGCAATGATCCCAAAAGTCTGCTAGGATTTGTGACCACCGAGCTCGAGTAAGCTGAATACCAAGCGTTGCTCGAACAGAATAGAAGATAATTTAAAGGGCACAGTGGGGAAGTTGAAGGTGCAAAGCTCTATGACAGCCGGCTTGATAGCGATGGCTCACATTGTCGAGAAGGCTGGTATAACAACCCTTAGATTTTAATCAAAAAGCAGTGACTAGGAGTTTAGAAAATATAGATTTTGGCAACTTGTTGGTACGTTGTGGTGGTTTTGACTGCAATATTGTTTATCTCTGAAAAAACTTGTACATAAGAAATGCTTTGAAAAAAAGTTTAACGACCTGATGTTTACTTTTATTCTGTTAGGAATTTTAGATCATTTAACTTAAAAAAAAAATCATCGACTTTGGGTATTCAGAAAACATCTGAAAGTCCCCCTGTTCTGCGGAGAAGTTTTGGACCAACTACACCGTATTTACATCCAGGAGAACAGACCGCTGAAAGAAGATCTTTGCAGAATGTGAACGTTCCCTTCAGTGTAAGTAATTAAACCCTGTGTAACCCTATCATAATCAGTTATATTGGTATATACAAGTGCATACGTATTGTACTTATTTTATTATAATATTTTTTTGTGTTTTTTTCTCAGATGGCATCAAGCAAAGTAAACGGCAACCCTTACCAACGTAGCACTCATTTTGATAGATGTTCAACGCCACAGCCCTATCATTACCAGAAAATCAGGTAATAATTAAATCATTAAACAACACATGTTTATATATATATTACCAAATTTGGTGTATCTTGATAAACGAAATGTTTTCCATATAAAAAACTAATTTCCGCTAATCTAAAAGCTATATATGACAGATTTATTTTGGCGATATAGCGTTCCAATCTGTCCATGCAAAATTTCATGATGCTGATTGAAAAACTCAGGACAGATCGAAATGGCTTTATCGACTTAACAGTTGAAACTGATCAAATATATGTATTTTATACGATTTGGGTTGTTGTGGGTTGGTCCAAGATTGACCTTGAGTCGGCCAGCTTAAAATTAAGTCTATCATTTTAAACTCTTATAATTTTATATTTTACTGTCTGTTTTTCATTTAAGATCCTCGTACTCTAGTCTATCAAGCACCAATCCATTTGAAAGTGAAGTTGACTCTGATGTTAATCTTAGTGGATGCTCTACAGTTGGTCTTCGCCCAAAATCTTATCGAAAAAAAAAGAGGAAAGCCCCTTCAGTTCCGACTAAAAACATGGTACAATATTTATGCTATTTTGAAAGTATACTGTTAATTTAATGCATTCTTTAGGTCACGGATCCTTTAAGCGATCCTGAAAAAAACTCAATGGGCTCCCCTCATAGTTCTAATATGGAAGCTATGGACATAAAGTCACTTACAAGTGAAATAGAAAGATTTGTACACAGAGATGAGACTTTCATAAATAAATCGCTTGCATCGCAATCTTTAATAGACTCCGAAAAGGCCCTAAGTGACGCAGCGGATATTAGCGCATTAAATATCAACGAAAATACCATTAATAATATATCTAATGGAAAAAATATTAGTCATGCGAAAGAAGACATTTCTGAAGAAATAACTGTACCAAATATAGAAAATCTTAAAACCTGTGACGCTGCGGACATTAGCGAATTGAGCATAAATGAAAATGTCAATAATAATATATCAAATGGAAGAAATATTTTGCATGCGAAAGAAGGCAGTTCTGAAGAAATTACTGTACCATATATAGAAAATCTTAAAACCTGTGACGCAGCGGACATTAGCGTATTGAGTATCAATGAAAATACCAATAATAATATATCTAATGAAAAAAATATTTTTCATGCGAAAGAAGTCAATTCTGGTGAAATTACTGTACCAAATATAGCAAATCCTAAAACCTGTGACGCAGCGGACATTAGCGTATTAAGTATCAACGAAAATACCAATAATAATATATCTAATGTAACAAATATTTGTCATGCGAAAGAAGACAATTCTGAAGAAATTACTGTACCAAATATAGAAAATCGTATGACCTGTGATCAGAACAGTAGCTCAATGCAAGCGACAAGTCGAAGTAATGAAAACAAATACAATTATTTGGAAAATAAAAGTTATACAAATAATAATGTAGTTAAAAGTTCTGAATATTCTAACAAACCATTAACTATTTTTGAAAAGTCAGAGAGAGATATTCACCTTTCAGACAATAAATCAAAACCAGAAAAGGTTAAATCGGTGAAAGAAATTATTGATTCTATAAATCGTAGCCAAAAATTACTTAAAGAAAGTGCAGCTAAAGGTACAAAGGTATATTCAACTTCTTTGTATACTAAAAGCAGTATAACACCAACTGATGATCACAACAAAAATAAAAATGAGATATTTCAAAATACTGTTACGATAGCAAATTCCTCCTTTGATAACCATTTACATTTACAACAAAATGATTTTCATAAAAATAAAATAAATAAGATAGTCTTCGAATGTAGAGAGTCGTCACCAACCTCATCAAACTTAGATTGGAATCCTGTGCCAAAACCAAAAAGAATAAATAGTGATTTGACAATAAGGGATATAAATGATCCTTAAAATTGCTACAATGTTAATAAATAAATATTTACGAAGATAAAAAAGTAGAATTTTGCATTATAATATTCAACATTGAATCCTTGTAATCCTTGTATCAAATTATTTAAAATTAGCCGTTAAATGTGTGTAATCTCACTGAAGTGAAAAAATTATGTTATTTTTTTGTTAAACTCGCTTACAAAGTAAACGGACTATTTAAATTAGAAATCCTTTAATTTAAAAAAAAAAACCACTATTTATGTGTCGTGCTGAATTAAAACTAAATTTAAAAAAGCTTCTTAGTTTTGGAACTCCGTTTGCATATGCATCTATTTCTGTTCTAGATATCTATTCTATGATCTTATGTGTTGTAGCGAGTTCTTTTGTACCACCTCCACCCGTTCCTGTCTACGCCCAGCGGGCCTCAAGCGGGTGTTACTGGCGGAAGAGTTCCTGCCTCGCCAACAATGGCCCATGCGGAGGTCGCCCATCGAATGTTGATCCAGGAGGCCGGAACAGGGTTTGATCCGCTACGGGCATGTATGCACAGGAGGGGTACTTCGTCAGGGAGTGTCCTAACGCGCGTGGCGTGTTTCGTTGGGTATGTAGGAAACGGGGCAAGAGCTGCCAGGATTATTGCCAGCGCGCGAAGGCGGGAAACGGACAACGGCGTCGCCCAGACCAGGATGGGGTCGACGCCGACACTCCCGCAACCCGGTAATAGAGTATCCATTAAAGGTGGACGGTGGCCGAATCGTCAGGGGTTGGAGTGCGAGAGTCGACACTGGGGCCACTCGCAGTTTCAGGAGTGAAGATTGGGTACGCACGTGGGCGATTCAGGGGAGGGCGCAGCATGTGCAGACGCGTATTCATCAGGCAAATGGATCCAGATGGAAGAAGGGACGGCGTTGTGGTAAGATGTTGGCCTAGCGGGGAAAGTGATCAGCATGCCGATGCTTATCATGCCCTCCGTGGTAGACCACATCATCCTAGGGATGGATTTCCTGTGCGTTGCGGCAAAGCTGAGTTGGTTCTAAAGACGGTGGTAGGACCGGCCGCGGGGCCTGGGTTGAGCAAAGAGCCGACAGAAAGCTTCCCACGTCGGGGAACGGAGAGAACAGAAGAAGGAAGCGGAGGAAAGGCCATACTCGGAACCGACCGAACCCACGAGGATCCCGAAAGGCGATGGAAACAGCTGCAGCAACAGCAACGCGCTGATCATGGAGTTGGTATGGCGGACATATGCCGGAAAACGGAGGAAGTAGGGGCAAAGGCTAGAATCCAACCAGACGCAGGAGATCGGGCCACAGTAGAGAAGTCTAGGCCACTCGAAAAGTCCAAGACCTCCATCTGAGATCGGAGTGGTGTTCGAAGGAGATGGTACGCAAAGTGATTCTTTAATAGAGAAGGCAGAGGGGCCACCGGAACTGAGAGAGTCCCTGGAGTCGGAACTGACACTCTTCGAGAGCCTGCACGGGATCTCGCATATTGCGGAGCGTAAGATCCGGTTTAAAGCTGACGAGCCATCGAAGCAAAAGTACTACCCGAGGAACTCGGCCATGCAGAGGGTGAGAACAGGTAGATGAGGTTAACCAGGCAGGTGCCGTCGAGCCGTCCGAGGGGAATGCACGGCATTTACGGTGCTGGGAAGAGATTTATTCTAATGGCGAGTAATGCCATTTGGACAACATACGGCTTGTGCGACCTTCCTATTAGGTATTGGACACGGTAATAGAGCCGAAAATGGAGCCTCATGCGTTCGCCTTCCTAGACTATGTCGTGGGGATAAGAACGACAAGAGAAAAACACTCCGAGAATTTTGGATAGTTCTTCCGCCGGTTAAAGGCAGCCAACTTTAGGCAGAATATAAAGAAATGCAGGAGCTGGTAAAAGCTTACGCATGATCACTGATCACCTGGCATTCTAATGGCTGAACTAATCGAGAGCCCTCCCGGGAGGGGGGCTATTGCAGTTGAAGTCCACTATCGACAAAAGAACCTCAACGTCGTGGCTGATGCTCTATCAAGGCATTCTTCAGAGACCTGTCAGCAAGCAAAAGGGTCGCGAGTAGAGAAATGTAGAGGAAAAGGGGCAATTGTATAGACATTTGGAGTCCTACGAGGGGCTACTACTGCGTTTTGTGTGTGACAACGTGGTGCAGTTCACAAGTCGAAGCTTCAGGTCTTTTCTGGAGTCGCTGGTTGTAGAAGTTCGGTACACCGCCCCATACTTTCCCCAAGAGAATCCCACAGAGAGGACCAACAGGACCGTAAAGACCATGATAGCGCAGTTTATCGAGGGCCATAAGAGTTCGTGCAACGATCTCTTGCCTGATATATTGCTAGCGGTGACTACAAGTATGGCGGACTCGACGGGTTTCAGTCCCACTTTTCTCTTGCAGGGCAGGGTTGCCCGCTGCTCTGTGTTCCATTGTTAAAAAAAAATTCATTTTGATGTATGTATACAGAAGTTCTTGCAATATGCGGTAGATGCCGCTAACTCGTGGCCAGTCAAAACCGATCTGATGAAATTTTCAACAGTAGATCTTCTGAAATATTCAATTGCATTAAAATTAAAATTAGCTCTTATAGCTTACGAGATTTACGTAAAAAATAGGACTCTTACTGTGCGGGCACTAGGATCAGACGGTCTGTCTGTCCGGAATGTAGATCCTAGGCTAGATCGTCTTGGCTATTGATGCTGATCAACAATATATACATGTATATATATAATATGCCTGTTACATACATTTGCACAAATATATTATACCCTTTATAACCACTTTTAATGGGTTCAGGGTATAAAAAGGAAACAGATGACGCATAATATATAAAGAGTTAATACCTATATTCAAAGCCGCAATATAATATTATATAGACTATCAAAATTGTATATCAAATTAATAAATGTAGGATAAGTGGAATGCTTTAAGGGTGTGCAAAATTTCTCTACAAGGGCAATTGACGAAATTCCACACTAGTCTAAGTAAAGAAATATTAATTAATTGAGAAGGAGTACCGCTAATCTTTATCGTTCATGAACAGATGAACAAGTGAACTGAATGTTTAGTTCATGAACGAATGAACTGAATAATTGTAATAAACATAATAAAACTTGCAATAAGTGAATGAGTTCGTTTACAAGCGATTGAATATATTAAAAAATTATTTATATAAAAAAACAATGCACAATGTTTCAAATCTCCATTGACGATATCCTAACGGCTATGGATTTAGATAGGTAAAACATATTTATAACAATTTTTACGTTTATATATTAACTTTTATATATTTTAGCCGGTATTATGGTTTTCTTGATTTGTCGGATCCCAGGAATGCTGAAATTAACGACCTTATTCAGCAAACCATTACAATCTTGCAAGATGAAATAGCCAGCTCTTGTTCATCAAATATAGTTAAACAACGCGATGGCAAACATGCAAATTCGAAAAGTAATATTTTAGTTAAAGATGAACATATAAAGGAAAATTCCGGACAAATGGAATCTGACAACAAAGACATCAAATTTGGATTGGCAACTGAAATTGTACCTAATGTAAACCAAGGAATTGAAGAAGTGGACATAAACACTTATTGCAAACTCGGTCACCTGCATCTTCTCAGATCTGAATACTATGAAGGTAAACTTAGTTTTAAACACATTTATATGTCGCCTTCCTTCTACGCAAATCATGTCCTTGCCTTTCGGCTTGCTTATTGTGCAACTTAGTTATGGTATTTAGTAATTCATGCAATAATTGCGTATAGGTATGTTAGAAATTCATATTGGAGATTACAATAATCCAAATATAAAACAATCTTCAAAACTTGTAAGACCCATATATTTACATATATGCAAGAAACACTTTTTGGTATAGTTTTTCGCTTTTTGCATGATCTAACGAATCATTCTGCATCAATTACTCAAATTTTAAAAGTCAACAGCAACAAATCTTTCAAATATTGTAAAACTATTATTATACACATATATACATGGCATGCTGTCAAGTTTTGGGAATCCTTATTTACCTTTTCGAGCTAGCAGCATTTGCCCTAAATTTTATGTCGTGCATTCGTACCTAAATACACATATTTTATTCTTTGCCGAGCCGTAGTTTTATACCCTGAACCAATTAAAAATTGGCAAAAGGGTATAATGGATTTATTCAAATGTATGCAACAGGTAGAAGGAAGCATTTCAGACAAAGTTGCGCTTTGCTGACAACCTCCATGCTTTTGTAGCAGACCAAGCTGAGTCTATCTAGCCAAGCTCGTATGCCTGAATGCGTAGATCTCAGAACCTATGGGCGTTGGAGAACGTAAGTTCGATTAAAACCGTTATCCAAGTTCTGTTCTTTTGAGAAAATCTTTTAGGAGAGACAACAACCTTGACATGTAGCTACTAGAATATACAGATCAAGCCTCTGTCATTCAATAGCTTTCGGCAGCTCCACCTTCGCAACATAACTATAAGTCAAATAAATACATCAATTAGAACTGCCCATCAATTAAAGCCACAATGTAACTTTTATTTTTGCGAGGAATTGAATAGGTGGCTGAAAGTGATGTTGTCCTAATTAAATGACTTTAGAAAAAACTGAACGTGGAAGTAAATGATCTCATCAGAGTCGACCATATTCGTATATGATATTCGTGTTGTGTAATTAATTATATTGAATACTTTTGAATTTGAATTTTTTCTTTTTCTTTACAGCTCTATCCGCATATCAAAAGTATATGAGATTGTGTGAAAAATATTGGAATAACCATGCTTTTATATACGGACTGGGAATCGTTTATTTTGAATTTCGCTGTTTCAAATGGTAATTAATAAAACTGTTTATATATATTTATTATTAACTGCATTACATATAAAAAAAATATCGTTATTGTCTTAAAATATTTTTTTTTAATAATTATAAATAGTACAGAAATAATAGAATTTAATTCTGAATTTAGGCTCGTGAAATTTGTCAAATCAATTGATGAAACCGACTTAAGAACATCTCTTTGAATAACCAGAAAGTTAAATAATTCGGCGGAAATTTCGAATCGGGGAGTTGATGTGAAGT